TTGGTCATTGTCCAACTCTCTGATGCATAACAAGTGATTGTGAAGACCATGGCCTGTATCAGACGCACCTTAGTCTCCAGAGAGACACCATTGCTCTTCAGTACTTTGGAGAGGTCCCTAACAGCAGACTTTCCCATGGCAATGCGCCTTTTAATTTCTTGGCTGCTGGTGCCAAGACTCTTGACAACAGAGGGGTAGCCAACCATTAACGCATTTGACACATCCGTGTCAGTGTTCAGCCTCACAGCAACCACAAGTGGTTTGTCCCATTTAAAAAAATCTTTAATATTTTTCATTGAAATTAATAATAATTCCATTAACGTTCCTAGTTTGGGCTTTTCCATAAATGAAAATACGGTACCAATAAAAAAAATACAAAGCAGAAAATAATTGGGTCATAAGTAAACCAAGGTCTTTTTAAGGTGTGTAAATTTGCATCCAATCTATACCCTATTCCTGGTGGTCAGAACTAGGATTAGGTGGGGACAGTGTTTCAGTAGAATAGATGTATGAGGCAAGTACAAAAACCCACCATCAGTCTCTTAAGCCTGTAGGAGAGGAAACTTCCAATAGGGTTTCCAAGGCCAAGATTCTTCCTAGAATCTTTCTAGGGTTGTATATCTTTGCAGCAGATCGCCTCATCTTGCAACAGCTGGCGGTTTCAAATTACCACAGCCTTAGCCACAGGATCAGAGCTCCTTTGGGTATTAAGAACAAGGGTTGTGAGATACTTGGAAGGGGATTGAGGGAAACCGGATGTCATTATTTTGCAGTGCAATGTTAAAGAATATACGTCCCTGGGCTTAGCTTATGTAGTTAGCCCATGATTTTACAACGAAATTAATATGTATCAACGTGCTTCTAAGTGATAAATCAGAATCGACACATAACCCTTCATTGAGATTCCGATGTTGTAAATCACTCCCTCGGAGCCGCTGGTGGATTCAAACTATCTGGTAAAGAGGTTACCGCACAACTCCCTATGGACTTTGCCACTAGAGTTCCCTGAGAAAGAAAGAGCATTGCAATTGTACATTCTGTGTCCAATATAAAAGAAATAACCTACTGGTAACAGGCACTAAAATTAAAACGCTAGTACTAAAGATCTAGTTTTTTCGGAGCGAAAGTTTACTGAGTGAAGAGGAAGGTCAGGCTTTCCTCATCATCTATGACACACTGTCAAAGCGCTTGTGTAAGGTGCAGAGGGCAGACGAATGGAAGCTCGCTCCTCCAAGGCTGTTAGGCTTAAAACAGCGGGTCTCCGGCCAGCACGGACGGTGCTGGCCCAAGTGCAACAAATAGCCCTTTGCCTTTTGCCACGAAACTCCTTCCCACTTTTCTTCCCAGTCCTCCCTCAAAAAAGATGAAGGCGGCCTATTTCGCGATTCAGTCCTTTTTTTGCGGCCGACTGCCCGCTGACGTGGCGAGCCAGTCGAAATAAAGACCAGGCCTCTCCACAGTCTAATCTGTCCGGACCAACCGCCTCCGAGGTCGGCTCTCCTGGTCGCGAAGGCTGCACAGGAGCGCATGCGCGCGCTGCCCGTCCCCCTTTACGCGCAGTCACTTCCGGCGTCCTGTGGAAGTGCCGTTCCGGGTCGCTGCTCGGTTTACTGGCCGGCTGTAGGGGCTGGTGGCTCGGACCAGCGTTCACAAGAAGCTCGTGAGGCGGGGCTCTGCCGGCTGCCCCAAGAGCGGCAGGTGCGCCAGTGGGGGCCCCAGGAAAGTGAAGAGGCTTCTTGTTTACCCAGTGTCTCTGGCCTGTCCCCAGAGCGGCCCGAACGGAGTACTCAAGCTACAGGGCAGGGGGCGGTACTGGGGTGCTGAAAAGAGCTGTAGGGGTGGAGGTGGTTGGAGCTGCTAGTTGTCCTGGCCTGGGGATCTGTAGGGTTTTGGGTTCCTGGCTGCACGACCTTGGAGAAGTTATTCCTCCTCTAATAGGTCTCAGTTTTCCTATCATCGAATGTGAGAGGACCGGCGAGTCTGGAGGGAGGAAAGGAGTGGGATCCCAGCTGCCGCAGATGGCACTAGCCAGGTACCTGACTGTCATCCTGGAAGTTGGGCATCTGTTTTACCCAAGTTTGCCGTCCTTAGCGACTTTTCTCAGAGGCCGTGATTCTCTAGAGTCTGGCCAGGTAAACAGCGTGCGGCTGGCAGAACCAACAAAAGTAAATGCCCTCGGAAACCTTAATCTCATTCCGATTGTTTTACTCAGGGCTCTCTAGGAGAAATGGGATTTAGGAACATAGAATAGTAAGAAATTCTGTTTGTAAGTGGAGAAGCTCTTAAGCAAATAAAAAATACAAAAGAGACTAGGATTGGGGAAAAGAAGGAGAAAGCGTCCACAAATTGCCATGGGAGTGGCAGATTTTCATCTCTTTTTAACCTCCCCTATTTTCTATTCCTCTCCTCCTTCCCCCAGCTGTTAGTTTCATTTTTGAAAGACAATATCCCATATCTTTTGTCTTCATGCAGAACAGAATGCTTTAGCCTCCAAGCTGTTTAAAATCCAGTAGATAAGCCAGGTGAGTAAGTGTTTTATTGATACGGAAGGTAAAGTTTTTTAAAAGTTGCATCAGGTATTAAATGAATGATCTGATAAGGATGGCTGAAGAATTGATGACTTTGTGGTATTGGAGAAGAGCGCTGACTAGCCCATGGATTGCTAAGAAAACAGGTCTCGGGAAAAGTGCAGCCAGTGTGCTCCTTCGAGGCAAGGATGTCAAGGCTTCATCTCACCTATCCTGGGCATGTTCTATTTCCTGGAAAGGGATGAAGACCCCCAACAAGGTAGATTAACACAGGTGTCTCAGCAATGGGGTCCAGTGAATTAGAGATGATGAGGATGGCACAGAATAGGACAGGATTCAGGTTTGTTTTTAGAGGGTTGCTATGAGTCATACTTGACTTGATGGCACCGAACAATTTAGAGTGTAGATATCATTAGTGAAATATGAAAGGTTAAAACTTGAACCAAAAAAAAAAAACCCAAAAAACTTGAACCAAGGTAGTATTGTTTTATCTAATATTGGAAGGAAAAGATGTTTGAATCTAATGATGACTATCCTTTCAGACATTCTCTTAAAAATATTTGGGGTGGTGATTATTGTTATTTGGGGTAGTTTTATCACAGTCAAAAAATAAACCTACATAAAAAAAAGTTTCTTTTTTTTTCTATAATTATATTTTATTAATTTTCATAAACATTTACAGAGATTTTGGGTTTCCATTCATTCATTGTTGCACTATTCTCTCTACCCTCCTCCCAGTTTGTTCTTGTCCAAATGCCACAGTGCTTGTCAAAGCCAGTTCTGATTAATCTTCTTTGTCAGTGTGTCCTTTGCCATTCCCTATCACTCCTCCCTGAGAGAGACTTCTCCCTGAGTCATAAGGAAAAGGGGATGGCGTATTCTCTTAGCTACTTCCTGCTGAAAAGGGACGCTGTGGGTTTCAGGGTGAAGATCTTCTCTCACTACTCTAAAGGGCCCCTTTGGCAGTAGGAAACACATAGACTATTATGGAGATTGATTTTGGAATTTAGATGCACTGTTATTGATTGTGCTTGGCCATACATGTTCATATCCTTGAAGATGTATCATGGGGGTGTTGCAACCTAGAAGACACAAATTTGACTAACAAGTTATAAGTACATGAGTCCAAAAATTATGGAAAAGTAAAAGAAAAGATTCTTTCATTGTTTTACAAACCCTCCCCCAGGTCCCCTCCACCATGTAGCCCTCGCTCTAGTCTCCTGTGATGACAGAAATACCTAGTTATATATCTCTTTTAAACAGTTTTCTCCCTCCTCTGTTTCAGTGCAGTATACATTATTGAACCCATCTTACTCAGTCTCTCCCCAACCCCAAGGACAGTCCCATTCTACAACAGTGGCATCATGTAATATTTGTCCTAAAAAAGGTTTCTTATACCTACATAATATCCCATACAGGGAGCTCTAGTGGCCTAGTGTTAAAAAGCTGTGCTGAGGGGGTGGGGGTGGGGGGGGATTGTGTACCAATGAAGGAGGTTTTCTTTTGCTTTTCAAGGAGAGGAGCAGAAGGGCAGATTGGGGGGGGCGGGGAGAAAAGTGCGACAGTGAATGAATGGAATTCCAAAATCTCTGTAGATGTTCATTGAAATTAAAAAAAAAAAAATTTAAATTTTTTTTAAAAATAAAAAGCTGTGCTGAAATCCTAAAGGTACATGATTCAATTCCACCAGCTGTTCTTTGAAAGAAAGGTGGGCAGATTCCTCCCATGTGATTAACTGCATATGAAAACCTTTTGGAGGGTCAGCTATGGGTCTGACTCAGTGACACAGGACAACACCAAGCTCTAGGTGCCTGTCTTTCCTGCTTTTTTCTAGGTTATTACTCTTTTGAGGTAATAGCTGATTGCATATTATCCTGGAACATAAGGAATTTTTTTTGTCTTCTTTTATATAAAAGGTTATTATGTGTAGCTGAAGCTTACATTTTATGGGGCAATGATTCAAAAGCTTTATGTGAGAATAATGTTTGTCCTGGTTGGTGTTATTAAATGTATCATAATCATATACGATAGGCAATATGTAATTTTAGAGAGTGGTTCTTGGAACTCAGAGTTCTGATTTCAAATACCAACTCTTCCGCTTAGTTGAGAAGTTTTAGGTTTCTTACCTCCCTCTGAATTACTTCATTTATATATGTATATGAGCATATGAGTGCTTTTTAATTGTTTATTAACTGTGTTATTTTCACATAAAGTTACGAAACTTAATTTTGCAACTTGAAAGTTAACAGAGCAACTCTAATGTGAAATCTCTCCAGTGTTTTACTCAGTTTATTTCTTACATTTATTTTATAGAGACCATGTTGCCATAAATCCATTTCCCAGATTTAAATAGGAATGCAGCGTGCTTGGATATTTGGAACTCTTTAGGGTCCTCCCAGTGAATTTTAAGTAAAAAAAGTGCTGTCGTGAGCCAAGAGATAGTCAGGAGTCCAGGGCAGCCACCCAGGAAAAATGTTTGCAAAACTAAAGAAGAAAATTGCAGAAGAGGCTGCTGTTGCTCAGAGGCCAGGAGGTGCTACTCGGATCCCACGGTCAATGAGCAAGGAATCAGTTGCTTCTATGGGGGCTGACTCAGGAGATGACTTTGTAAGTACCTTTTGTATTTTGAGTATTTGGTGCCTTGCCAATACATGTTGTTTAAATACTACTGAGAATCTTTTTAATTTTTCTTTTAAAATGATGTAATTATTTTATAGCTTTTATTGTTTGTAAGTATGCAAGAATCTGCATATCTTAGTTTAAGAGATGCTTTTTTTAAAGTTACTTTTCGAGTCCCTAAGTTCTCTACATTGTCCTTCTGTACATAACGCCTTATGCATTTAATTGCTCAAAATACCTGGCCTGTTTCCTCCACAGTCATTATACTGTAAGACATTTTTGCTTGCTAAGCCCTGGAGTTGTGCTGTGGGAGTAGCCAGAGTGCATTGTTTTACTGGGAAATTTGTCAACGATGTTACTAATGATAGTATCATGTCTCTTTTCTTAGTATCCTTTTGGCTGTAAAGATTTAAAAACTCAAGATAATGCCTTGGTAGAGAAATGTCAGACCAAAGGACTAATGTGTATCTTTAGTGTTTGACAGAATCCTCTTAATAAGCTGGCATTTAAAAAAACTGATGAAATAAATACTTGATAATATATTTGAAAATATGTATAAGTGTGCTGAGGAAAAAGAAAACTATTTAATGTTGCTTATCCTTCAGCTTAGTTTAACATAAGTAGTCCCATTGGACTTACTGTATTTTACTTCAACCTATTTATGACATGAAGTTGTAGTTTGATTCTTTTTAAATTTTTTTTTAGTTAATTTATTTTTATTGCTATATAAATTTCAGCATTTGAAAAGACCACAATTTTTTTCTTTCCTTTCTCCTAGTGGTAGACATTTGTTTACATAGTCAGACAAGTTTTCCTCCTCCTTTCTTATACTGGCTGTAACCTGAGTCGTAGTATGTGGCAGGAGCTGTTAGGTTATGGAGGTGGAGCAGTACATAATCTGATCTAAATTATCATTGGCTCTTGTATTTAACAGGAAATACTAAGTGTGTAATTGAAAAGCATACTGAAGGATACAATTTTAATGCTGAGTTTCATAGCAGAAGACCTGCTTTCCCTTCCTCTGTCGTGGTGAAGAAAATTTCTCATCTAGATTGTATCCCAAATACAGAGATTGACATGAATTCAGGACTTTGAGACTTTAATGTAATATAAACTTAACATTTACTTAAATATTGTTTATGCTTTCTGATCCTCACTTTTTTATCTCTGTAGCTTTATATATAATTGTCTCTAGATTTCTTCTTTTAGGCGTCTCAAAATTTTTATTGTACAAAACCACATACATTCATTCCATGTTAAATTCACAGGGATATGACCTCCAGTTAACCTCCATTATCCTCTGTTCACATCCAATCCACAGGGACATGAACCTTCACTATTTTACTTTATCTTTCCAAGTCATGAGCTAAAAACTTCAGACATTTTCACCTCTTCCATCAATCATTTCTCTGCATCCAATCAGTCCTAAGTATTTTGGGTTCCATCTCCTAAATGTCTTCCAGCCTTGCCCTGTCTACTAATAGTACATATACTTGTTTGTGTTATATACCATCAAGTTGAAATGACTCATGCATACAAGACTCTCCAGTGAGTTTTCAGAGGCAGCAAATTGCATGGAAGGGGATTGCCAATTTTTCTTTGGTGGAGCAGCTAATGAATTTGAACGTGTGCCTTTGGAATGGCAGCATAGCTCCTCACCTCTATTAGTATAAGTATTAGTATTGCCATTGTACTAGTATTAATATCTGTACGTGTCCTAGTATTGCTGTTTTTTTTTTTTTAATTTTTTTAATTATTTTTATTTTTTTTTTTTAAGAATTTTTTTTAAATTTTATTATTTTTGTGTGAGTGTACCGTCAAATCAGATCTGACTGGTACAGGAGGAGATTGTCCTTCCTTTCCTGGCACAGCATCTGGTGGATTTGAACCGTGCACCTCTGGGATTGTAGTTGCAGCTCCTTACCACTAGGCCACCAGAGCTCCCCTGCTGTTTTCATTTAAGCTGTCTTTTTCTCTTGTAAAACTAATGGCAGCTTTTCAGGGTTCCATACCTCCAGTAGCTCCCCACAGTGATCTTTCTAAAATGTAGCTATGGTTCATTTTTCTCTGTTGTTTAAATTCCTTTGGCAACTCCCCTTTATCTTCAGGATGAAATAGAGACTCAGAGTATTAACTGTTACGGTCTAATTATTGCTTATCTATTCAGGTTTATGTCACTCCACTTTCCCTGTGCTCCTGGAGTGGACATCATTTCTTCATGCCTACAAATATTGTTGTATATGCTTTCTGCTCTTCTGGCATTTGCCTGCCTCCCTTACCCTTTTACCTTGTGTTTTTCTGACAGGCTTTTATGCATCCTTTAAGATGCAGTTCACAGTTAGTTCTAGGAAGCCCCCTGACCCAAACTGTTCCACTCACACATCCCTATCTTTGCCCCTCCTAGCTGCAGTTGGTACCTCTCTTCTGCTTACCTCTGAGAGAGCATATACGCTGCATTGTTATTGATGATTTATTTGTTTATGCCTCTAAACTGGTAGCTTCATGAGAGACAGTGTAGAAGTTAGAACTTGTGTCAGGTTTATGTAATCAGACCTAGGCTTAAATCCTACCTCCATCATTACTGTGTAAATTTAGTTGAGTTCTTTCATTTTTTTATGTCTTCATTTCCACATCTGCAAAATAGGTATAGGAACTGTACTTGGTACACTGTTAAGTAACAGTGTATCAGGGATCCTCAAGATCACTTCCACTTCTGATGATTTTTTAAGAGAGTTCACAGGACCTAGCATATGGTTGAACCCAAGGCTGTTCTTTATTATAAGGAGAGAATACAAGGCAAAATCAATAAAGGGATAAAATCCATGAAACATAGTTTAGAGGAAACAATGTATGATTATCAGAGTCTTGCCAAGCTTAGCTTAATGTTCCTTTCAAGGGCTGTTCCCTCTTAGCACTTTGCTAAGTATATGAGATGAAGCCTCACCATATTTCCCCAAGACAAATTTATTTGTTCTTTTTGCAGTCAGTAGGATATTCATACTCTTCACCAACACTGCAACTCAAAGGCATCAATTCTTCTGTCACCTTAGTAATTGTCCAAGTTTCAGATGCATAGGAAGTAATAGAAAAGACCATGGCTTGAATTTGGTGCACCTCAGTCTTTAAACTGACATTGTTGCTCCTTGAAAACTCCTTAACAGCATATTTTCCCAGTGTCACACATCTCTTGATTCTTTTTTTGTTTCTATAAACTTTATTCATAATCATAAAAAATCACAAACAAGCCACCTGTCCTTCAATTTTTTTGAGATTTCAATGAAAGTTTATAAATAACTTGGATTTCCATTCATTCATTGTTGCACATTTTCCTCCTTGCCCCTCCCGTTCGCCTTTTTTTTAAAAGTTCTTTTGTTGTTATATAGTCTCCCACCCCCAAGACCACTTTACTATGAAGTTCTTATTATAAACTCTTGTCATACCAGTAATACCTAATTATATATTCCTTTTTTTTCCTTTTTGTAGCTGGAAATGTGAAAAAATTCATTCATGTTTTTTGTGCATTCTTTTCTTGAGGTTATTCATGCATTAAAAACATCTTCTGTGTGGTTTTAAGAAGCAAACTAGTGGAATCACATTTTTTTTAAAAATCCACAGGTATATGAATTGCCTATTCAGGAGGCTATACGTTTTTAATTTAATTTGTTTATCTGCTATTGTATTTTTTTCCCTTCATCTGTTTCAATGCCGTGTACATTGTTTATCCCCTCTTTTATTAGTTTTCCCCAACCTCCATGTCAGTCCTCTTTTGTAACAGTGGTATTATGCAGTATGTGTCTTTTTGTGATGGAGATATTTCACTCAGCATAATGTCCTCCATGGTCACCCATTTTGTATAATAGTTCATGAGTTCTTTGTTTTCCAGTGCTGCATAATATTCCATTGTGTGAATATGCGAGAGCTTTTCTATCCATTCATTTGTTGATGGGCACTTGGGTTGTTTTCAACTCTTGGCTATCTTGAAAAAGCAGCAGTAAACATGGATGTGTATATAGCTGCTTGGTGGCAGTTCTGGTTTCTTTAGGATATATTCCCAATAGTGGAATTGCTAGGTCAAATGGTATTTCTATTTGCAACTTTTTGAGAAAGCGCCATACTGCCTTCCATAGTGGTCGCACCATTTTATACTCCTACCAACAGTAAATCAGGATTCCAGTTTCTCCACAACCTCTCCAGCATTTGTTGTTTGCTACTCTGTTGAATTTTGCTATTCTTACTGGGATGAGATGATATCTCATTGTTATTTTGATTTGTATCTCAAAGCTACGGATTTTGAACATTTCTTCATGTGTTTGTTTGCCATCTGAATGTTTTCTTTGTTGAAGTGTCTGTTCATATCCTGTGTCCATTTTTTAGTTGGTTTGTTTACCTATATCTTGTTGTGGTAACATCTTTTGATTCTTGACTACTGGAGAGTGTTGATTTTAGATTCAAGCAAGGTGAAATCATTAACAACTTCAGTCTTTTCTCCATCTATCTTGATGTTGCTGTTGACCTAGTGATAATGATTTTTGTCTTGATGTTGAAATGTAATCCATTTTGAGAAGACAGAGTGAAGACAAAACAGGGCTGCATGAGATGTAATCCATTTTGAAGGCAAGCATTTCGAGTCCTCTTCACTGTCAGCAGGCAAGATTGTGTCATCTGCATAACACAGGTTGCTGATGAGTCTTCGTCTAATTCTGATGCCACATTTTTCTTTCTAAAGTCTAGCCTTTGGATTGATTTGTTCTGCATACAGATCGAATAATTATGGAGAAAAGGTATAGGCTTAGTGAGCCACTGTTATCAAGGAATAGTCAGAACCTTCTTAAATTCTCGAGTTCTCAGATGCCATCCAGTGACCAACTAAAGCAGGCCTTTCTAAGGATAGTGGTCCTAAGCCTTGAGGCCAGCTCTTTTTCAGTAAAGTATGTAAAGCACTTAGCATAATGTCTGACTCTTAATAAGGATTTCATAATCAGTAGTTGCTGCTGCTAGTGTTTGAGGCTTGGACTCTCACTGTCCCTAACAGAGGATGTCTAACTGAGAGTAATAATCAAATGTCTTATATAATTAGTTGTAGATGACAACTATAGCCATTTGTAGAGACAATGAGAATTGTGTTCAAAGCTATTGTACATAGAGTCAACGTGAGTTGCAGGCAACTCAATGTTTTTAATTTTGTAGGTATGAAATAGTGTTATAGTTGTAAAGGAAAATGTTCTTTATTTAAAAAAAATAAGTGTAAATCCAGGTATTTAGGATGGAATGTTATATCTATTCTTCATTGTTCTTGTGTACCGTTGAGTCATAACCGACCCATAGCTGATCCTCCAGCAGATTTTCAGAGGCGGTAAATTACAGAGGAGGCGATTGCCCATCTTTCTTTTGCAGAGCAGCTGGTGGATTCAAACAGAATGCCTTTGGGTTGGCAGCTCACCTCTAACCACTAAGCCACCTCTTTATAGTACTAATAGCAAAATGAAAATTGATAAAGCAAATAGGGCAAAATGTTAGCAGTTGTTTATTCACTTTTCTGTATGCTTGACAAATTTTATAATAAAAGCTAAAAGGATATTACTAGTTATTAATAATAATAAGTATTTCCAAATGTAGAGTTACTATATGTTTTATAATCATATGAATTGTTGGAGGAAATTGATGTCTCATTAATACATTGATTCATTGAAAGAATATGTTCCAGCATCTTTGATATGTGATGGAGTGTTAAATTGCCATCCTTTTGTTTTCTAAATGAGGACATTGACATTCAGTAACCTTTTCAGGGGCAGTGATTGATTCTTAGCCACAGGTGTAGTCTTCGATCCATTACTGCTTATTAAAAACCTTTCTTTGCCCTTATACCAAGACCTTATTTTTTTTAAAGATAAAGTGATTTTTCTGAGTTTTTTGTTTGTAAATGTATTTATATTATGGACTTAGTGTAGAATATAACAGTGAATTTATTGGGATCTTTTTAACACTGAGGGAGAGAGATAATTAATTTATCTGTTTAGCATTGTTATATCTCCTTAACAGGGAGCTCTGGTGGCCTAGTAATAAGGAGTATTGCTGCCAACCCAAAAGCACTTGATTTGAATCCACCAACTACTCTTGTGAGAGAAAGTTGGGCAATCGCCTGTGGGATTTACTGCCTCTGAAAACCTATTGGAAGGTCAGCTATGGAACAGTTCCAATTTGATTGTAACTAACACCAGCAACATCTCCTTAACATCACAGAGGGAGATTGTAGAGTTGCTTCTACTTAATAGGTAGAAAAACTAAGAGCCAAATACATTAAGAATTTTTTCTGTCATCTCAAGTTTTTTCAGTCATACTTTAAATGTGCCAATCCTTAAGTAAGAATTATCTGCCTTTCTGGCTCAGTTGCTTTGATGTCACAGTAATGAAAACCCACTTGTAAAAATGCTGTCTCCTTGTGTCTGTCTCAAACAGGCTTCTGATGGAAGCAGCTCCAGAGAAGATCTTTTGTCCCAGCTTCTAAGAAGGAATGAACAAATACGGAAGTTAGAGGCCAGACTTTCTGGTATGTCAAAGAACTTACAGAAAGCAAACAAAAAGAAACTTGTCTTCCTTTTCTCCAGATAAAATAGACATGGGGGATAACCTTAGGGTTGTTTTGGCATACCAGTTTATCTTTTTAGTCAAAAGTCTCTCTTCTTTCATATACTGCACAAACATAAATTCATAGCTGAGTTTGAGAGGATTAAATAAAAATAGCAATTTATGTTTTTATGTTCCTATAGTTTCTAGCCAAGGATATAAACAGTATTTAAAATATATGTAGAATATATTTCATGATTTATTACCCATTAGGATAACTATTTCAGATGGAGAAGGGGCAGGTTGTAGTAGTTTCAGGGTATGGCAAACAGACGTTGTATTCATTAGCACCAAGATGGTTTGGTACTGCTTTGCCACTTGGTACAGCTACATATTACTTAGAAAAGTCTTGTGCTGGGTTTTTGGGCTACTTTTCAGTGGTGTTTCTAAATTTAACCTCTATATCAAAGCTGTCATTCTCATTACATCTTTTGTATGAGAAAGTTTACATTTTACCCAACTCATTGTACCCTTCACCTGAACAGTATAAGGTAGCAATATAATTGTAAATTCTTAGGTTGGATTTTGCCCATGACAACATCATCCTATGAAGTAGTCCATACCTTATCTGTTTTTTTTTTACCTTAGCCCTATGCCTGTTTTATGGGTATGAATGCAGTAAATCACAAAATTCATTAAATTGTATGTGAAGTATTTGTTTGTATAGTTATCCACAGATTCATAGCTCATAGCTCACAGCCAGGCAATCTATATTTATATTTAGCCCATAGTACTGCTTTACTGTGATTCAGGTATTGAGGGTAGATGTATCAGAGACAGTGAGATTGGCTCAGGATAGAGCTGGGTTTAGAGCTATTGTACATAACGTTGCTATGAGTCATAGCCAACTTGACTGCACGTAACAATAACAATAACAACAAAGGCCTTCTACTGAGGAGCTCTGGTAGCTTAATAAGAAAGACTTTTGCTGCCAACACAGACATGTGGTTCAAACCCACCAGCTGCTCTGTGAGAGAAAGATGGTCAGTCTTTGTGATTTATTGCCCCTGAAAATCTGTGGAAGGTCAATTCTGTGTTGGTTCCAACTCAACAGTACTCAGAAACAATGGTTGCCTTACTAGGCTTATTATGGGTAAGGTTACACAATGATTGGTAGAACTAGAATTCAAATTCGTGTTTATCTCATGCCAAACTTCATATTCTCCCTTATTGTTGAGTCATAGCTGACCCACCATTGGGTTTCTAAGGCTGTAAAGCACACGAAAAGACATTGCCAATCTTTCTTTCTTAAGAGTTGGTGTATTCAAACCACCACAGAGTCAGCCTTCGGCTTAGCAGCACAATTCCTTATGGACTGTGTCTGTGCTTTAAATTTGTTACTCTCATGTTACCCTGACCCATAAATACTTTTAATAATTGAGGTCAAATAATTTTAAATTCATTTAGTTTGGGAAACTATATACCAAACAACATATAACTTCCTTTAGATAGCAGAAACACTGGTTTGGGCTTGACTTACAAAAGGATAATGGCTGCCCTGGACCTGTCATCACCACAGGTGTGGCTTCTTTGCTGTACCTGAGGCATCAGGCAAAGAGGAAGTGGCTAGTTCAACCCGTTAGCACTCAGAATGGGTTCTAGCCTGACAGTCCTGGGGGGGTGGGGAGTGGGGAGAAGAAGAAAACTGACATTTGTTAACTCCTTCTGTGCCCTAGTTATTGTCCTGCAGGCTTGGAGTAAACAATACTGGTAATAGTAATAGCAGCTGCCGTTTATTAAGCACTATGTACCAGTTGCTTAAGACATGTAAAATATTTAAATATTATCTAATGCGTTCTTTGAGGTAGGTACCATTCATAGCATCATTTGATAAATTAAGAAACTAATAATCAGAATCAAAAGATTGCTTAAGATCCCCCAGCTAAGGACTAACAGAGTTGAGATTTGAACTTAAGTCTACTTTTCTACTGTACCATACTGTCTTCTTTGACCATCTAGGTAATTATTTAAGTCTGACTTTCACCTTTAATAGGATATGTGTAACTTATTTCCCAGTTCCAAGTTTAGGAAGGAAATAAATTTTCTAGATAACTACATACCTTCCCTATAAAGGAACCCTTGTGATACACATTGCACCATCATCCAAAAGGTGAGTGGTTCTAATCCACCTGTCAGGGAGAAATATTGACAGTTTCCTCTTGTCAGGATTTTCAACCTCAGAAACCCAATGGAAGGTCGCATATATCAGAATTGATTCAATAGCATGGGTTTGGTTTTGTTCAACCATAAAGAGAACTGTGCAGAAGTGTTTGCTTTTTCCCTGTTTCCCGTTACTAAGTGGACTAAGAACAAAGTATACAGTGAATTCTTTTTGATCTACCCTACTGCTGAGACTGGAAAGGAAAACAAAATTTGAAATAAAGTAATGAAGCAACTGTTCTTCGTAGCAGGGCATTTCTGATGATTAGATCATAAATAATTATAGTCCTGATTCTTGTTTTCTGTGAATGATGAACAAATCTGCCTGTTTGTATTCACCATTTACACTGTGACTAGTTTGTATTCTGTTTGCCTGTGTTGGCCATTGTTAATGGGAGGCTAACTGCCTAGCTTTCCTTAACAGGAATGGTTTTCAAATTGAGAAAATCATCATCATTTTTTACTCCTTTTTTTGTTTAATTAACTTCCTTTCCTAATGTTTGTCCATTCCTGGTATGTGCATCACCCTCCTTACCCAAGACTATGCTGAACAGGTCCGAAACCATCAGAAGATAAAAGAGAAGCTTGAAATTGCATTAGAAAAACACCAGGATTGTACGTATTTTTCCCTACTTTTCCATTCTGTCCAGGGTTTAGTTTTTGTTTATAAAACAATAGTGCATATATGTTTATACCTCATCAGACTCAAATTTTCATTTTATGAATCGTTTGCTACTTACGCAATTTGACATGTATTTGTCCAGTACTTATAATCCACAACCTTTACTCATGCATTTATTAAGCATTGCTTTTTAAGTGTTCTGCTTAGGAGGAGGTTGTTACCTATGTGTATCAGCTTGTCTTCCCCCATTTGACCAGCTTATTGGCTGCCCTTGTTTTTAGTGAAATCAGTAATGCCTAGGCCTTAGCCTAGATTAGGAGACTTGGGATTTTGTGCCATTGCTACTTTGTTCAGGAAATGGAAAAAAATCTGTTACTATCACCATTCCCCCAACAAGAGAGCTCACTTTGTCTTGTATACCTTAAATTATGTATTCTCCTTTAGATGCAGTCAAAACAATTAGCAAAAATAGAAATTTATTTTTGGCCAACCCTCTTGGTATTTTTTTTTTAATTTTTTATTATTTTTGTGTGCGTGTACCGTCAAATCAGATCTGACTGGTACAGGAGGAGATTGTCCCTCCTTCCTCGGCAGAGCATCTGGTGGATTTGAACCGTGCGCCTCTGGGATTGTAGTTGCAGCTCCTTACCACTAGGCCACCAGAGCTCCCCTCCCTCTTAGTATTTTAGGATCAAACTGTTTAAAAAGGTACCTTTGGGATCCTCCTAAAGGTATGGACTTGACTATTATAAAAAAATAAAACCAACATGAAATAAACAACGGAGAAAACTGTGGTCCATTACTGAGGCCACAAGATTTTTCTGCACAAATGAGGATAGACCAGGCTTTTCCCAGTCTCATGATCTTTTACATGGCCTTGGGCTGCTATGTTGGGTGAGAGTGTGAAACAATCACATAGAAATAAATTTCTTTGTCATGCTATTTCTGTGATATTTTAACAGCTTCCATGCGGAAATTTCAAGAGCAGAACGAGACATTCCAAGCCAACAGAGCCAAAATGGCAGAAGGACTGGCTTTGGCATTAGCCAGAAAGGACCAGGTATTTAATATGTGACACTGCCCAAGACTTTTGGAGAGGTTCCACTTAGTGATATGATTTCAACGTCATGACATAAACCTTGCAGAAAACATTTACAACTTAAGAGAAAGGGAATGATAAAAGCCTATAAGATTTCACCTAGCTTCAGAGTTGGAAATAACTTAAAACCTGCAGTTTTAATTATAAAATGCTCCTAATATGAGAATGTTACGTTGTACCTTTATTTAAGCAAAATGGGGCATAGTGTGTCTGTAGTCTGATGGAAAGAGCCAAATAAAGTGAAATATCTCTGCCTTAAGTCTGTCTCAAAGTGGAGGCCCCAAAATTCTAGACTGTTATAATGGAGAAAATAATGTCAAACTAGTCATCATCTATAAATGTAAAATTACAGCCTATGTTCCTGAAGTTCTTCAACTTTTAGCCAGGTAGACAGAAGGGAATTCTTGTTAGTGGCAACAGAACCATCCACTGAGAAATGCTAACTGAATCACAGCAAGAAAGTTGTTATTATTATTATTATTATTATTATTCATGTTTTGTACTGTCGAGTTAGAACCAACCCCGAGCTGTTACTCTGGCAGGTTTTCAGAGGCATTCAGTTAGACAGGAGGAGATTACCAGTACTTCTCCCGTGCAATGGCTGGTGGCTTTGAACCATGAGCCTTCAGGATTGCAGCACAGCTTCTTGCCACTAGGCCATCAAGACAGGGTTCATTTTCCTGTGCTACAGGTGGGATGATTGACTGGTGTGGTTTCAAGTGAATATTAGTTACTTGTGACATTCACTTACTGGGAAGAAATTAATTTCCCCAAAACTCACTGAATAATGTGGCCTGAGTGTGTACAAATGAGGTAAATGATTTAAAATCAGTCCATTTTGGCTGTAGGCAATTGGGATATGGGTTTTTTCCCTCTTTTTTTATGATTTGAACACCAGCTTACTCATGCCAGGTAACATATAGCATGTTGGTAAGATCAAAAGGAGAGGGGGGGCAAATTATCCGGGCTGCTGAACACACACCACCCTTTTAGAAAATTAATCTTTCAATAATTGCAGGATTGCCCAACAAAGCTGATTCCCAAAAAATAACAGTAGTACTCGTAGGAATCCAATTGATAATAAACTAAAAGCTGTGTAAGAACAGAAGATAGAACTTTGCTTCTTGGGTGATCTGCTTAGTACAAATCTGCAGACTTTTATCCTAGAATTTTATGTAAAATGTATTTTCTTCTCTATTTAGGACTTCTGAGCACTGTTGCTACTAAGCCAAGTTCATGGGAGTTTTTTGTTGATGATTTAATCTTCATTTTGAGGGAGTCGAGGGTTTTGTATTTTGTTTTCTGAAAAATCTTAGCATTTCCTCCTGAAAATGCTTCTTTTTTTGTTTCATCTTTGTTCTAGGAATGGTCAGAAAAAGTAGATCAGCTTGAAAAGGTTAGTTGATCTTTTTTTTCTTAATTTTAACCTCTTCCCTGGGTCCTGGCCAGTATTTTGGTAACTATGCATGATGCTGTACCTTTGGAATCAGAGCCTCTATGATTAGACACTTTGACAACTGGTCTTTCCCTTTTCTTGGTTGTCTACTGAACTTTTTCCACTTGTACTTTCTGATACACTCGCCTCCATTCCCTCTTCCCTTTCTCTGTACTCCTGAAGGCTGATAGAGACTGCTTCAGCAGAGCTCCATCTGGCTTCTTTTTGTGGTGAACAAAAAGAACTCTATTAAAAAAAAGTATGATGGAATGTGTATATCCCCACCTTTCTCCATGTGGGACCCTTTCACATTAATTTCATCCCACTATCTCAAATCAGAGCTTCAGCCTCCTTAATAGAATTTCTGTATCTTGAGTTTAAACCTTTTATCCATTTCTCCTCCTTTGTGTACAACATTGGTAACACATTATTTCTCTTTTTTTTTTTTTTCCTTTTCAATCTAGCCCACAGATTTGCTAAATCTCTTTATTAAATACTCCTCAAAATAACCTAATTTAAATGTGCCATCTTTTCCTACCGGGGCACTGATGTATACTGTGGATGGTATTAGTAATACTTTTAAAGGAAGGATAGAGAAGATAGGTGGCTCTCAAAGCTCAGCAGTGAGTAGATGAAAGAACCTCTTAGCTGGAAACAGAAGAGAAAAATTAAGTTTTCTAGTACTGTAGATTCTGCAGCATTGTGTAGATGACTTAATTCATGGTTCTAGAAATGAACAAGATCAGATTTCAGGACTTCAAATTAAAATAATTTATGATCTACGTAAGGTTTACTTGACATGCTCACTTCCAAAATATTTTTACTCTTAGTTTTATTAAGGAGGGGAGTTTATCACTGCCTCTTTCTACAAAATACCAACTATTTATGTAATAAGTTAGAAATTATAAGAAAGTCAAACTGTCTCACAAAGGAAAAAAGTTCCCAAACTTTATTACTATCTTAATAATGGTCTTTGTAAATAAGATTGTTTAGGTTAAGTTAAAATTTTCTTATATCAATAGAAACATTCATTTATGATGATTGAAAGTAGTATTTTTTACTTTCAGCTCTTTTTTAATTATAGTAAAAAAGAATCCATATAGGCCAAAAATAAATAAAACCTGCATTAGTTCCCTAAAGGAGCTATGATGGCATGATGTGTTCTGTGTTACGTCCTAACCAAAAAGTCAACAATTCAAGTCCACCAGCTGTTCTATAGGAGAAAAATGGGCTTTCAGCTAAAAAGATTTAGCATTAGATTGACATTAATTGTGTATCCAAATAAAATGTCATCATCAGTCTTTCCTCTGCTTATTAGGATGTTGCCTACTGGTTTATTATCATGGTTTGTTAGTTTTGTTTATATCAGATTCTAGTTTTCTTGTGGTCATGTGAAATCCATACTGAAGGCTATAGTCTTTGCTCTGCGTCAGTAAATGCTTCAAGTAACTCTTTGCTTCCAGGGAGCAAAGTTGTGGATTTTTAGGTTGCCAATGCATCTCCTCCACTCCTGATGACACAATGTGCTTTATACAGCCAAGCTTCTCAGATGATTTGCTCAACATATAACTTGAAAACTGTGAAGGTGTGGTGAAAGATTACAACCTTCTTTTCCAATTTTTTTAAAATAAAATTTTTATTATATACTGGTTTACTTTAAAAAAAAAAGATTTAGCGTTAGAAACTCAAAATGTTTCTGTGACTTGATAGCAACTCAGTGGCATTGAATTTGGCTTTTAATTCACTAAGCAGCTTTGGGGCACTGTGGTTAAGGCATTAATCTGTTAATGGAAAGGTTGATAGTTCAAACCTACCAGTCACTCCATGGGAGAAAATTGAAGCGGTAGGCCTCATAAAGATTTACAGCCTTGGACACTTTGTAGAGCAGCTTTATATAAACTACATGTTTGCTGTGAGGTGCAATCAGCTCAGTGACAGTGGGTCTGGGTTTGGTTTATGTTCAGTTCACAAAGGTGATTCCTCCTCCCTTTTTCTTTTTTCCTTTATCAAATTATGGTTTGAAGGATATTTTAGACAAAAAAATGTGTAGGTCTTTGAAACCATTTTGATTCTTGGAAATACTATTTTTATGTAGAGTTTTTTCATTGGAGAATTCTTTCTCCCTGATGAGGAATTAGAAAATGCAGTAGCAGGCTTAATTACATGTAATCATGGAAAACTGCTCATGACAAATTTTTTAGATACCTCTGACAATAGCCATGTAAAATAGTTATACTTGTTCATCAAATTTGAGAACATCACTATTTTTTTTTTGTGAGTGTACCATCAAATCTGATCTGACTAGTACAGGAGGAGATTGTTCCTCCGTCTTCAGCAGAGCATCTGGTGGATTTGAAATGTGCACCTCCAGGATTGCAGTGCAGCTTCTTGCCATTAGGCTATCCGAGCTCACTCAAGAACATCACTATTCAAAGGCATCAGTTCTTCATTGGTCTTCCTTAGTCATTCATTATTCAACTTTCACATGTCTACAAAGCAATTACAATTGCCATGGCTTGTCAAGTGCATCTTAGTCTTTAAATTGACATCCTTGCTCTTTGGTAAATATCTTCAACAGCGTTGCACTAGAGCAGTGAGAAGCCAAAGCAGAGTGAAGAAATCAAGAAATTGAGGAGCTGAACAGAAGATTTCAAAGGGCAGCTCAAGAAGACAAAACAAAGTATTAATTGTGAAATGTACAGAGAGCTGGAGTCAGAAAATCAAAAGACTGAACTTGCTCAGCATTTCTTAAGCTGAAAGAATTGAACAAATTCAAGCCACGAGTTGCAGTACTTAAGGATGCTTTGAGCAGAATATTAAATTATCCAAGAAGCATTAAAAGAAGGTGAAAGGAGTATACAGAGTCCCTATACCAAAAGGAATTGGCTGATAAAGAAGAATTTAGTGAAACAGCCTGTGCTGATGAAGTTCAAGCTTCTCTGAAAGAATTGGCAAAAAACAAGGCTCCAGGAATTGGTGGCATACCAGTTGACATATTTCAACAAACATGCTGCCCTGGACGTGTTCACCATGTTGTGCCAAGAAATCTGAAGGACAACAATGTGGCCAGCTGACTGGAGGAGATCCATGTTTGTTCCCATTTCAAAGAAAGGTGACCCAACAGAGTGCAGAAATTATCAAATAATATCATTAATATCACATTCAAGCAAGAGTCAGCTGAAACTTTTCCAAAAACGACTGGAGCAGTACATCAAAAGAACTGCCAGGTGTGCAGGCTGGGTTTAGAAGAGGCCATTGTACTATGGATATTATAGCTAATGTTAGATGGTTCTTGCCTGAAGCAGAGAATACCAGAGGAATGTCTATCTGTGTTTCATTGACCATGCAAAGGCATTTGACTGTGGATCACAAATTGTGGCTGACTCTGAGAAGAACAGGAATCTCAGAACATTTGATTGTGCTTATGCAAAACCTATACTTGGACCAAGAGGCATTCATCAGAACAGAGCAAGGAGACACAGCACGGTTCAAAATCAGGAAGGGTATAGCCTGGGAAGTAGTCTGTCTCCATACCTTTTCAATCTATATGCAAAACATCATCCAAGAGGCTGGGTTATATGAGGGAGGAATGTGGCGTCAGGATTGGAGGAAGATTCATCAACAACCTGCGTTATGCAGATGACACAACCCTGCTTGTTGAAATTGAGGAGGACCTGAAGTGCTTACTGCAGAAGATCAAGGATTGCAGCCTTCAAGGTGGATTGAAGCTCAACATCAGGAAAACAAAGATTCTCACCACTGGGTCAATTGGCAGCATTATGATAGATGGTGAAAAGATTGAGGTTGTTAACAGCTTTAGTTTGCTTGGCTCCACAATTAATTCTTGGTACCAGCTGCCAGAAAATTAAGACTCGAATTGCATTGGAATAGTTGGCTGTCTGGGACCTCTTCAGAGTACTGAAGAGCAATAATGTTAGTCATTAAATTAAGATGCCCCTGATCCAGGCCATTATTTTTGTTGTTGATTTTCTTCAAGTCGAGCACAACTTAAAGCAACCCTATGAACAAAAGCCCTGAAGCCCCTCTACATCTATTGACATTAATCAAAGTTTATAGAGTTTCCAGAGGCATGTTATTTAGGAAGTGGATGCCACTCCTGCTTCCAAACCTGTCATAGTATGCTATTGTTGTTATGTGCCATTAAGTCTCCTGAGATGTATAGTGACCATATGTACAGCAGCTATGAACCCTTCCCTATCCTAAGCCAGTTTCACTAATTCTAACACACCAACCCCCATCGCCCCAGTTACTGTATCCATCTCATCTGGGCCATTGTCTTCACAATTGCTTGCTGTGTGTCAGAGAGCTGGACAATGCCTAGGGATGATACAAAGAGAATTTGAGCTGTGGTGCTGGAGAAGAGTGTTGAATTACGATGGACTGCAAGGAGAACAAATAGTTTTGTCCTAGAGAGGGTAAAGCTAGGCTGCTCATTGGAGGCAAGTATTCTGAAGCTTCATCTGACACACTTTGGGCTTATTGCAAGGAGGGACCAGTCCTTTGAGAGGGACATCATATTTGGAATGATGGATAGAGAAAAAGATGGAGACCATCAATGAGATGGATTGATTGAGTGACTGGGTGATGAGGGTAAGTGTGTCAGAGACAGTGCAGTTGGCACAGGGTAGAGCACGTTTAATGATTAGTGTACATAGGGTTACTGTGAGTCGTAAGCAACTCGACAGCACATAACAACAATAACAGTATTTGTTGATTTTTTTTTTCACTACTGCTTCCATGGGTGTTGATTATTGGTGCAAGTAAAATGAAACCTTGACAATTTTAATGTTAACTTTCATCATATTTATTCGATCTCAAGATGGAGAAAATTATTCAATCTCTGTATGGAACAAATAATCTCTCTATGAAGAACTCAGCAAAATGCATTTGAAAATCAGAGAAATAGCTTTCAGTGTGGATTATATGCCAACATAAAACAAAAATTCTCAAACTTGTATCAATTAAGTTTTATTCCTTATAAATTGCACAGGAGGAGATGTCTATCTTTATTCCTCAGAGCAGCTGGTGGATTCAGACTAGAAGACTTTGGGTTGGTAGTGACGGAACTTTCTTTGTGGTGGTGTTAAGTGCTGTCAAGTTGACGTACAGAGTAAAGAGCCGGAAGTTGGCTGGACTGCCATGTTTTTCCAGGTCTCACAGGTTTTCTGTATTCTTTTCTTCACTCTGACAGAATTAGACAGTGTGTGACCATTTGTGTTTGGGTTTTTCATTAGCAAAATGTTTCCAGGTGATACCCAAGTTCTAGCAATTATAGGTACAAGCTTTTGTTTCTCTTTAATATTCCATTGTATGTCTATGCCACTATTGTTTAACCATTCATATATTGATGGACCGTTATGTTGTTTTCACCTTTTGACTATTATAAATATTACTGCTATAAACATTTGTACAATGCAAGTTTAACACAGCTTTTTTTTAACACAGCTATTTTTAATTTAAAAATTTTGTTGATAATTCTATATTGATCTGCATTACAGGAAAAAGTTCCATTTTTTATTCTTGTCTGCTGATATTTTATTAAGGGTTTTTTTAGTGGAAAATTCCACTTTTAAAATATGAATTTCTAGCATTTCAGTTGCCTGAATGGTGTCGTCTTTTTCCAAATAGGAAAAAAGATTTTTGACAGTTCAGCTACAGGAAGTGAAGAACCAGAGTTTAAATCTTTTCCAAAAGAGAGATGAAATGGATGAATTAGAGGGATTCCAGCAGCAAGAACTAAGTAAAGTAAAGCATATGGTATGAGTTATTTTTAGTAGCTAACTCCAGAATAGATTATTAATTACTCTGTTTTTATTAGTCATTACTATTTACTCATTGGTAAACATACTGTGGTAAATTCTAATTGTCGTTGTTCTTAGATGCCATCTAGTCAAGTACAGCTCATAGTGACCCTATGGACAACTATAGTCACATTTTATTTTATATATATTATTAATATGATAATCATATTTGTTTGGTTTCCATGTATTAATATGTAAAAAGTTCTACTTGAAATTATTTTTTCCCCTCCTTTACTGGGCATATTATGTCCTTTTTTTTTTTTTTCCATATTATGTCCTTAAAATCCTCCAACAGTGTTATAAATGTTTGGCTCAGTGGGTTAGACTTTTTTAATTGCATCTATCATCAATGGCCCGCTAAAACTTGACATCTTTGTTTCAGCTTTTAAAAAAAGAAGACTGTCTGGGGAAACTGGAGCAAGAACTGGAAACACGAACCAGAGAACTCAGTCAAACCCAAAAGGAGTTGATGGTCTCCAATCAGATGTCTTCTGATTTAAGCCAGAAGTTAGAAGAATTGCAGAGACACTGCTCAACGCTGGAAGAACAGAGGTTCTTGCTTGGTCTGTGGGGCCCCTGGGAGCGGTGTTAGTGTAGCTCAGCTATCATTCTCTTGCATTTCCTCATTGCTCATTGCAACACATTCTGATCTTTGTGCTGGCAAAGGCTTCAAGACTGGTCCACACCTGCCTGGAACTCAAAACCCACTCACTCAACCCTCTTAATCAGTCTTGCTCTTCTAACCATGCCTACCATGGTTACCCACTCTACCTAAAGTTGAATTCTGAGCAATTTAGTATGATTTTATAGTGCTTGCTATTGAGTAACCAAAGGCAGATGAGGATTTCTTGCTTAAACTTGGGTGGAATCTTTCTCTTTGGATTTTGCTTGATAGCAAGCCTGGGAATGTTCCCTAGCGGTAATTCACTTGAGTTAATAATATTTGTAGCCCTGGCATATGCCATTATCTCTGTTATTTTCTATGGAAGAATGTGACTTAGCTTAGATAATTTTTTCCCCCTTTTTTTCTGAATGAAGAGATCATGCAACCACTTCAAAATCAAGTGCAGAAAATAAGATCACAGCCTTGGAGCAAAGGGAACAAGAGCTCCAAGCATGCATTCAGCAACTTTCCATTGACTTGCAGAAGGTGAGTCCTAGGAGTACATCTGGATTTCTAGGATTTGTGAATTGGGATAAAAATTATGTCTGGAGACTAAGGTGCGCCTAATCCAGGCCATGGTCTTTGCTGTTATGTGCTATGCATCAGAAAGCCGGACAGTGACTAGGGACGATAGGAGAATTGATGCCTTTGAGCTGTGATGCTGGAGAGGAACTTGACAATACCATGGACGGCTGGGGAGGGAGGGTGAAGCCAGGCTGCTCCTCGGAGGCAAGGATTCTGAAGCTCTCTCTGACATTCTTTGGGCATGTTGCAAGCAGGCACCAGTCCTTGGAGAGGGACATCATGCTTGGGAGGATGGAGGGACAGCACAAGAGAGGAGGACCCTCTGTGAGATGAATTGACTCAGTGACTGGGTTAATGGGGGTGGGTATGTCAGACAATAAGTTTGGTTCAGGATAGTGCAGGGTTCAGAGTTTTTGTACATCAGGTCGATATGAGTCACTGGCAACTTGACGTCACGTAACAACAACATCAGAAACTTCAGCTTAAGACAGACTGCTGAAATGTATGTGTTTCATATAGTCAGCTTTTTCTAGATAAGCTCTTGTTACATGCCATCAAGTCAGAACCGACTCAGAGCTGACTCTCCAGTGGGTTTTCAGACTCTATAAATCACATAAGAGCAGATTGCCTATCCTTCTTCTTTGGAACAGCTACTGGATTCAAACTGCTTGCCTTTGGGTTGACAGCAAAGCTTCTTAAGCACAAGGCCACAGAACATATCAGTACTATCTTGTATCCTGGATAAAGCACCACATGAACATTGAGTATAAGAAAACAGACTTGATTGACATGATCAAAAGTGTACCATTGTAATGTTATTGTTAAGTGTCTTTGCGTCAGTTCTGATTCATTTCAACCTTGTGAGTAACAAAATACCCTGCCAGGTCATGATGTATCCTCACAGTTGTTGCGATGTCTGAGTCCATTATTGCAGCCACTGTGTCATTCTGTCTCACTGAAGGTCATCTTCTACTAAGTATGATGTCCTCCTAGGGCTCATTCATGCATTCATTATGTACTGTTGAGTTGGAACCGACCTATAACTGAGCCTCCAACAGGTTTTCAGAGACAATCACAAGGGAGAAGATTGCTCATCCTTCCACGGCATTTCCAAATTTTCATGAGACAAAAGTCTTAAACATCCTTCTAAAGAGCATGCTAGCTGTGCTGCTTCAAAAACAATTTTATTTGTTCCTGTGGTAATACTTGGTATATTCAGTTTTGTTTTGTTTCTAACATAATTCAAAGACATCAGGGTGAGGGATTTTTTCCATTTTCCTTATTCATTGTCCATCTTTTGCCTTCCTGTGAGATGATTGAAATACTAGGGCTTGGGTCAGGCACATCCTTGAAAACTTCTAATCCACCAGCTGTTCCACATGTGAAAGATGGGCAGTCAACTCTTGTGTGATTTACTGCCTTTGAAAACCCATGAGAGGATCACTTGTGGGTTGGTTCCAACTCGAAGGTACACAACAAAAGCCTTCAATAAAGTTAACAGTCTATACATGGATTTTTTTTTTATCCTCAAAGGTTTACCATTTCATTATAGAGCTCAAAGCCATAAATACACAAAAAATTAACAGCAATGTTCCAAAGAAATGAAATAAATTTTTTTAAAAAATGCATTTTTAAGTACAAATAGTATGCCATAAGGAGAGTGTATTTCCAATCGAGGTGTTAGGAACCTCTTCCTTGAAGACTGAAAACAAAAAATTAATAGTTCAGAAGAAACAGAGAAGGCCAGAATATACAGAGTGCATTGTTTGAAGATGAAATAATAGACCTAAATATTTGAAATTTGAGGGAAATCCTGATTGTTGTTAAATTAAGTGCCCTCATTTTTTTTTTCTATAATTATATTTTATTAATTTTCATAAAAATTTACAGAGATTTTGGGCTTCCACTC